TAATATGCAAGATTAAAAATAATAAGGTTTATTACAAGAAACAGCTCAGAAAACTTAAATAAAAATAATATAGTCAACCACACACTGGCTGCTGAGCTTCAGAAATTTTACCCATATGATGCTGAACAAAGTGACCTTCAAAGTTTAACTACATTTAAAATGATAACTAGCTTCCCTAGTGCAGAAATACTAAAAATATCTTGATAAAGAATCAGTGGCTACACCTATAGGAACTGTGGTTCAAAACTGACCACAGGCTCCTACTGTGGAATACTACAGTAATTCTGTGATTGATGTTCTTTGCAACTTGAAATAAATTAACAAACTGACCCAAAACGAACCCAAGTATTTCATGTTTAGATCTCTAAGCAGGATCTAGTCTCTTTAATAAACTGATCATCTATTTTTGAGGGTTTTCTGATTTTTAAGAAGAAACAAAGATAAATGAAGTAATAATTATAACAAGTATTTAACCTCCGGTCATTTTTGTTGCTTATAAGCTTATAGAGAAGGGCAGAACTCTGATAAATAACACGTAACTCTAAACCCATAAAGATGCAGCTAGCCAGAACATTTCTAAATAATTAGCGTTTGATTCATATGGGAAGAAAACAGTGCCAGGTCTATATCCATACTACCTCAAGAGGGAAATCCTTTATGCTGACATCTACAAAAGATTGGCAGTAATGAGGATCCATGTAAATCAAACTGTCATCTACAAGGACAAAACAGAAGACAAGTAATTCAAAAAACACCTTATTATTACACTGCTTACAATCCAATTTCTATGCAGAACAGCTGAAAAAAAAAGCTAGTAAGTAACTGCTTGCCAGGCTGATATTCATTGACTGAAGCATAGGTTTTTGCAGGACAGATTAACTTTTGCATAATCAAATATGCTTGTACAAGCAGAATTTTTATAAAGTGATGAGACTGTCATTTAATTTTTGGTGATAAAATTACTTTTACAAACACACAATTATATTCTGGAGTTTGCATATGAAAAATGTATTGTTCTACTTCATCCTGACAGGAAGAATATATTGCTTGTCATTTAAATGTCAACTAACACCACTTAAAGTAGTAAAAGGTAAATATGTAAATAAGAACTGCCAGATAGTAACAGCAACAGCGCCTGAAGTTTGGTGAAACAGATAAATTATGCCTTGTTTATGCAACAAGGGAAATTAAAAGTACATTTTACAGAATCCAATTACTACAGGGGATAAATGACAAATGACTGGACTTTGGTAGTAGGATGAATTAATAAGGTACTCATTTTGCTATTTTAATCGTGCTATTTCCTACAGGTCTTATATTAACTTCCTAACTCTTAAAGAATAATATTGAAGAGACATAACATTAAAACACTAACCTTGAAATCCAGCAAAGTAATATGACTGCTTGGGTTTGCCACCGATAATACCAACACAATACTCAAGGCTTAGGATTCCCTAAAAGCAGAACAATGAAGAATTAGGACATGTCAGAAGGGTGCATTAAGCCAAATTAAATTTTTTGCTCTGCCAATATGTGATTTTACAATTACACCTTCTAAGGATTTTCATTTACACAGTTTTGCTGCAGGAGGAACATTTTACTCATAGGACTGCCTGGAATTCCTCCAGTACCCACATGCTCCGGATGGAGTCAGACTCCACTCTGTCGAATCCGCAGTGGTGGTTACTCTAACACTGCTGCACTGAGCTCTCCTTGGCAGCTCCAAGGCAGTAACGCAATCACCCGCAGCAACGAGGGGCTCCTGGTTAAACCTGCCTAAAATACCAAAGAAATACCACCAGAAACACCCCTGCCACAAACTGGATGCGCGTGCGTTCATTCCCAGGGCCTTGTTCCACACCAAGCACCGAAGAGGCATTGCCCACACGAGCAGAGGATGCAGCTAGACGGGCAGCTCATACTTCACACATCACAGGTGGCCTGTTTCACAGGTACCTACCTTACATTCTTGGAGCATAAGCAACAAGCTAGATTAAGAAAGTATTCTTGACGTTTAAAAAACAATGAAGGAAAAAAATGGAGATCTAGAGGAAGTCTGCAATAGCAGAATTATTCTGAAAACTGTTAAAGCAGTTAAAACAGATAAATAATGGACGAATGGCACACTTATGGGCTTATTTTTTTAATTCCCTTTGATTAAAGAAAGATAATCACCTCATGCTCCATTAGAGGTAGAACCAAAACATCCCAGGTATTTGCCATTAAGAATTATTTTCCTGCCTGGTTATGTGGCCCTGGCTCATCACCTGGGAGTTCCTCATCAGCCTTGTTCCATTCTGTATTAAAATAAGCACTTAAAAAAAGGGAATATAAGCAGGCAGGGAGAACCTCTCTGCTCTGCTCAACGTACTTGCACTGTTTTCACTTTCACAGGCTCCTGTTGCTTAACAGGACTCATTGGGATTTGGGGAGGATTCAGTCTTGGTGTAACACAGATTCCCCATTAGTTATCCCACTGACTCCAGCAGGAGCTGCATTTTGCCAACACTGAGCACTTCTGAAAACTGAGCCCAAGGCTTCTAACACAAGCCCAAGATCATTAAATGCTCTGAAAACTGAACAGCCTTTAAATACCCATAAATCACAGTGGTTTCCCTGGGCCACTAAACAAGTCTTGAGCCCAAAAGCTTGGATGCTGGCCCAAACTGCAGAAGGCCACCACGTGAGCTTGTAACTGATCTCTCCTGTAATGATCAGCCACTAAAAGCATGACCACTACCCTGTCGTGGTCTGAATAGGGAACATTTCTCTCAACAAGATGACAGTTATTTCAAGGTTCTTGCTAGGATAAAATTTCCCCTATTTATATGATGATTAAAAAATTTAACATAAGAAATAATTTTGTTGTACTCATAACCTGAGATGCTAACAAAGTCAGCTTCAGTGGGGTTTATATAGGTTAAGAGAAAGCACCTATTTAAAGCAAAAAGAAAGTGTATCTAAGTAGGAATGAGAGGGCTTTTAAGAAAAACACTCCTTGATGGCTGAACATTACAGAAGATATGTGGGCAGGTCAGAGGCAAAGGAGAAAACAGCCATGGAGCATATATATTCATCCTCTGCCTGTGAACCAGAAAGAGAAAAGCTACTTGGAGTAATGAATAACTGTTTAATCTATGGGAATCCTCTTGTAAAAAGGAATTATTAAAGAAAAAAATCAATTTTCATCCATAAACATAAAACTCTTTGTAAAAATTACTTCTTGCACTACATTTTAAAATCTGCATTTTTAACTTTATCCAGATCCTAAGAAATTTGGTTGCTTCTTATGAGTAGCCAAGATAGAGACTGGAGCGACTAATACATGCAATTGAAAGCTCTCTTATCACAGTCCCAGTTATAAGAGCCTGAAAAAGACAGTACCAGCCTTGGAAAATGAGCGGCACAAATCACCTCAGGAAAGCCAGCTGTACAAGGCAAACTTAGATTGCATGACCACGCAATGAAACCCAGTGCCATGCAACCATATTTCACCCTGGTAGAAGACTGCTTCTCTGAGCTAACCTGAGAACAACGCTGCAGTTTAGAATTAAAGCAGTTATCTCCACGAGCAGCAGCCAGTATTGAAGACCTGGAATCACTTTGAGAAGGTCTTGAGGGCTGCCAAACCAATGGTTTGTTAGCCTACGAGCAAAGGGTCTTCCTGGGCCTAAACCTAGGACTGATTCAAAGGCTCGTTTGTAGGAACGGTGAAGGTAAAGTATGTCGTGTCATATGTGGCACATTTTAAAAGCATCAGGATTGCTCAGAAAAGAGCTTAACACTTTTCTAAAACCAAATGTCTAAAAATGTAAGAAAAAGACCCAGGAAAAACAACTCATCATTTAACAAAAGGCTGTCTTTCTGTATCTTTAAAACAATCAAATACTTTCTTGAAATTTTGTAGAGAAGATTTTTAAAAAATGATGCAACAGAACAGACTGATTCCCCAGTGTTGTTAATGCTATTAAATCATGCTATTTTAAGAATATAAATTACGCTATGCTACTTTAAGAGTATTTATATGATAAATACTCTTAAACAGTTGAAGCTGCAGTAATGACTAATGGCATCAAAAAATTCCATGCCCCTTTCTTAAGGAGAAGTAAAAGACAAAGGAAAAAGATAAGCACAGTCAAGCAACAATCTTAAACCACTTGACATTTTAAAAGAAACAGAATAAGGATTTTTGTATATTTGTGTTTTAACATGATGACCAATACTTAATATAGCACAACTCTAACAGCATATGTAACTAAATTACCATTTGTAATTTGAGCCACTGCATTAATGTCTTTACAGATACCTACTTTAGAAGAACGGTTATCACTGCTTTACTAAGGGACATCATGTGCTCTACAATTATATCTGATCTTGTAACAGGGAAATTTCAAATCTGTAAAGTCAAACTTTACAACCTTCAACTGTAAAATCACCACCACTCATTTAATAGGGAGAAGATTACCATCATCAAGTCACTTTTCATATCACCTAATGCTATTATTTGAAAAATGATCTCATTTCATACCTTTACAAACTCTAAATAGTCCATGTTTGTTCTCTCTCCACCAAGTCTCACAGGAACTAATATAATTACAGCTTTTGTGTCTGCTTTTTCAGAGTCCATAAAAGAACACTGTCTGTCAACAACATCTGAACTGTAGACTGAAAGACAAATGAAAATAGCCATATTTAAATATATCATTTTACAAAGACACACCTACAAAATCACATTGCTTCATTTGACAAACTAAAACTGCAGTCTTGTGAAAATATTGCTGTCCTCCAGAAATGCAACTCCTGAACTATGATAATAAAAGATAATATTATGTTTTCTTATTTTCAGCAGTATTTTCAAGAATACGCTGCTACTTAGTTTTAATGGAAAGGACACACTGCCAGGAAAACACAAAAGGGTAAGTTAGGAGAAAACCAAAGAGCACCCAAGGCTCTAAAATGCTCTGCCTGTTATTATTTAAAATGCCATGCTGGAGCACAAGAGAAACTGCTACAGATGTTGGGTCACTATCCTGCTTGCCCACCCTTTGAGCTTAAAGCTGAAATCACTTCTCAACAGTCTATGAGACTGGTGAAATATTTCCTTTCCCTGGAAATGATGGGTTAGGAAGAATGCTGTGATGCAAAAGAGTAATGCTGAAATGTTGGAAGTGTGTTTTTGGGGTTTTTTTTTTTTTTTTTTAGAAAGATATAAAGGTTCTTACTAGCACTGCACTAAAACAACACCGAAGAGAAGTAAAAAATAGATCATGGACTAAATTATATCCACAGACTCTCAAAATGCCCAAGTTAAAATAGGTAGACCATAATAAAAAGTTATCTTAATGGGGTTTCAATGCCATTATCTTAATAAGATATGAAACAAGAAATGTATCAAGCTTTCAAGATGTCCAATTCTTAATAAAAAAAAAACAACAGATGGAGATGTAATCAAGAAACCCTTCATACATAATCCCAATTTTGTAGATTCATTTGTGAATTTGATATTTTTCATGCAGAGGCCTTTTTATTAGTGCTTACTGAAAGACATAAAAAGATCTAAAATGTTTGTCAAAATCCGCATAGCCACAACATTTACCTGTACAATCCTGAGCAACATAAACTGTTACTCCTTGTAGCTCAGGGTCTCTTGCTTCTTCAACAGCTTTTCTAAGTACAAAGAAAAAAACTATTTAATTCATCTCTGATTTTAAAGAAATTAACATTAAGCAAATGAAAATTACTTTTTTTTTTATAAGCTTATTTTTATTTGTTTACTTTTTAATTCAAACACTTTTTAAGTCTTTTCCAGGCTCAATATTACAGTATTTCTTATCCTCAAGTAAAGATGCCAATGACTTACTATTTAGAAGAAATAATAAAAACCACAAAAAAGAAAAAATACATTAATTTACAATGAAATTTGTATTAGCTAGCTTCTTTCAGTTTATAACAATTTTCTGTCTTGTATAAGGTGATAGTAAAAGCTACAATTGCTCACCAAAACATTAATTTCACATTGACTGATCTCTTTAGCTAGCCTTAACTCTTACTAACCACAAATTAGCACTTTACGTCAACTGAAATAAAAGCTAACGCAATAAAATGCTGTAAGACTTCTCCAAAACTTTCAAAACGTAATGCAAATATAATATTAGACTATCCTCAAAAGAATAAGAGTAATGGACCTAAAAACTAAAAAGAAAGTATATGTCAATAGTCTGAAGAATGATCATCAGTCAAGGACAACATTTGTAAAGAAATTAAACTGTTCAAAATGGAAGATTACCCTTTGACTTCCAATACATGGTTGCATTAAATGGCCACTATTTTTTTATTTCACAATATATTTTGCGCAATTCTCAAAACTCCACAATTGGGAATTGGGAAGGGAAACCTTTGCAGTGCTTAAAGTCACTGGTGAGTTTACCCAGAAGGGAATAGCGGGATTTTTTTTTTTTTTTTTTTTTTAAATTCCGACAATGGACTAATGCAAAATTATGCAAAACAGAATTCTTAGAGTTTCTATTATTGGGAAAAAATGCAAGAAAACACATAAATAATGCTGACCTGTCACATCACTGCATGTGCTTGCAGGTATGCACCCAAAAACACCAGAATGATTCAGGATAGGCTCATTTATCATGAGTATACTTGTATACTAAATACCAATTATTCGACCTACATATACACAGATATGCACATGAACTTTGACTTCTGGTACTTAGGTGACTTATTAGAAATGCAGTTTATAGATAAGCTGGAATATACTGGAATATAGTATAAGTCTGTTATTAAAAACCCTAATATTCAAAGAAATGGCATATAAAGGTACATAGTATGGAGAAATTTGACTTTCGACTTTTTTTAAACCACAGTGAATGTCACAGACCCTTTACTTTTACTATGATATAATTATAATATTAATAGTCCCATACATTTACAGTTTCACAAGAATTTGATGTGTGCAAAGAAATGCTGAAAACATCAATTTTAGCTCTGACATTTCATTACACTATCAGTACATTACAGCCCCCAGGTTACAGTATTAAAAAAAAAAAATCTATAATATTATGCATGTTCCAAGGTTGAAAGAGTGGTTAGTTTTTAGAACATTTCATTAAATGCAGCTCTACTTAAAAATCTAGTTTGAAAAACCTTGGGACTTCCACTGCTCAAAGTAGAAGAAAACAGAATGTTTTTCCTTTTCTGAAGATTGAGCAAAGGCTCTGAGTTCAGTTCCTGCATCTACTGCTATTTCCCGTCTTGTCTCTGAAATAGCTCTAGAATTACGATTAATATGGCAATTTTACAAAGCCAATAACAAATGGTTAGGTGTTCAATTAAACCGAAGCAATTTCATGAAACTTTGAATGCATCTCCAGTAACATGAGAGGCACTGTAACAACAACAATAACAAAAAACAAATGAAATATATTTTTACCTTAAAATATGTGCAACAACTGCAGGCCCATACCAATCTCCAGCAGTCTTCCCAGATTTCTTCCCATATTCTATTAGCTTATGTAAGCCAAAAGCTGCAAGTGGAGAGTCACCAAACCAAGAAATTATTTTTCTGTGATAAACTTCATTTCTCATTTCTCTGTCACCACAGTTTCTCTTTAACGTTCCCTTATGATGGTTTGACAAGATCTTGGGTTCTCTTTCTGCTGTAAGTGATGCTTCAAATGATGCAGTCAGCTTTTTCACAGTATGGGTTGTCCATGATTCAGAGTCTGAATTTTCAAAGTCCAATGCATCTGGCCATATCCAAGCTGCAGTAAGAAATTTTAAAGAATTTTAAAGTCTTACCAATAACTTTTTTGATATAATTAGCAAAGCATATCTATTTCGTTGCACCCTTCTCCCTGATCAATAATATGTGCTTTACATACTCAGATGCAAATGTCAATAATGTCTAAGTAAAGATCATGCAATACAGTTTGCTTTTGTTTTCTGCAGTGCGATGGTAGAAAATAAATATTAGTAATAGTAGCCTTTGTTAGCCATTTATCCTGAGATACTAGGATCAGACTTCAAGATTCCAAACAGTGAAGATATTCAAGATAGGCCCAATTGCAAGACACACACTATAAGCATCATATATATTAAACTCACAAAAAAATAGCTTTTAATCTAAGTTAAATAAAAACTTTCAATGGTTGCTTTTATTATTCCCGTTTGTCAGTTATTTAATACAAAAAATCCACAGATGGGGGAAAACATACAGGTGAAAACAAGCACTTCCTAGAAAATTTAAAACAGTAAAAGCAGGTCAGCAGAAAAATACACATTATTTCTTTATTTACTACACTTGCAAATTGTTAGGGTTTACCTAGTCTACAAGACATACTTAAAAGCTTATATTTCTAGCCTGGTATCTGCAGTCTGCTTTTCTGGCAAAAGGTTTCCCTAACAGTAACCATCCATGCTGTGCTCCTGCTAACAGCGTAATGGCAGTTCAACGCATCGAGAGAACAGGAAGGCTTCCCTTGGCAGATGACAGAAAGCCTCTCCACAACTCCGAACAGCTCCTTGCAACACAGAGCACGTGAGGAAATCCCCAACACGCTGCGACTGACCGCCCTGCGAGGTCAGAAAATATCCTGAAGGTCTGTAATGGGGATCCCAGAGCGCCCCAGGGAAGCGTGGTAAGGAACACACCCTAAGGATGAGGTGGTTTTGCCCGTCGAGGCTGGTTTCCACACGCTGCTGGTGGTTCAGCTAGTTGCCGTTACAGCAGCAAGAGGAAATTGTTCAGAACAGATACTGACAGAGGAGCAGCTGCAATCCTCCCCGCAATTCCTCCCCAACGTCCAAGTAAAAGTCTCTGACAGAAATAAAGGGGAGGCACAGAGGTAGGAGCACTTTAATTCTAAAAATCTAACTTATGGCTCCAATAACACCAAAGGTGCTGCTGCTGATGGCCCTGATCCGTTTTCCCCAGAACCGTTACTTGTGGCAGAAGAGAAGGAGCTCTAGGCAGATGCACCATGGGCCTCACTGTTCCTGTACTGTGAATATCAAACTTAGATCCACATTTTCAGCACAGTAAAACTTCATAGCGCCTTAATATTTAAAATAAAAACTTACTTATATGATCACTCTGCAATATCTGGAACATTCCACATAGTAGTGGAACTGTAAGTATTCTAGCTGGTAAATGTAGTGAAATTTTGCTTTGTAACAGAAACAATACAATTAAACCATAATGAAAACATCTCTGGGAAAAGAATAGCAACAATGAAAAAAATTATGTAAACACTTAAATATGTTTAAGAAGTTACCCAAATCTCATAAACAGCTTTTCAAAAAAAAATTTGCCAGCTGTCAGAATACCAGATGATGAGAAAAGTAATCCAGAAAGACTATATATATTCCATTTTTCTACACATTTGGATTCCCGCAGAAATACTAGCACTCTGGAATCACCAAATCACTTTCCAAATTAGGATGCATGGGGGACAGTGTAAGAAATTCTTTTTAACCATAGAGTTTAAAGATACAAACTTGGGACTTTTTTATTTTGGATTAGTTTAAAATGAGTCATTATGCGTTCCCACTTACAGATACCCTCCTAATCAGACTTAAAAAAAAAAAAAAAAAAAAAAAAAAAAAAAAAAAGGTAATGTATGTTTAACAGAAGTTATCTTTAAGGATTTGTTCTCTCAGCAGAAGTTCTTTCTTTTTTTTCCTTTTTTGCACAGTTTGGTATTTGCAATTAGGTAGTAAGGAATAATGTTATGTTTTATGACTTGAATACCTATAGCAAAAAGAATATTCAATAAGCCAGTTGGACAGTTCAGCCATACCAGTGCCAAGAAAGATGTTGTTGTGATGCAGCTGGTTTGGGCCTACGTTCAAGCTTACATCATATTCACACAGTCAGTGCAAAGTACTGTCAAAACAGGCTTTCAGAACCAATTGCTGCCCATGTGTTCGGGGGGACCACCAAAGGGCTGAGCAAACAACACACTGTATTGTCTCCAGCTGCACTCCAGGGCTGCACCAGGACTGCAGCCAGGAACACCTTCCACAAAAGGCCGTGTGACAGAGGAAACGAATGAACGTCTGAAAGGGGGAACGTGGCGCGTTTTGAAAGTGATGATGGAGGAGGATGAACAGAAAGGGTGGCTAACTTAGAGAATTCAAGACCTCAGCAGGATATCACTCAGGCTTGGAAGGCTGGGGAGGACGCACATGCTCAGCCTCTGAAAGCAGAAAGTGTTCCGAGCCTCTTTAAAGCAACTCCTTTTGAGTGATGGGAAGTATTTTCAGATAGATGAAGACAAGAAAAAAAAAATAGGAGTTCCTTTGTAAGTGTATGGGGTGAGGGTAGAGGGAGAAGGGAGGAAATGAACTAGTGAAAATTTCAACACAAAGAATGATATATTGAAGTCAGATTAGAATTCTTCTATTAACTCAATATATTAATACAAGAAGAAACTGAATAATGTACAACCTTAAAACTAATAAGAGAACATCACTTCTGCCATAGCCTTTAGCTACAGACCTTGGAACTCATTTCTACATCTTCACTTCAACAAACTAGCAAGATTCAAGAGAATTGGACGTTTACTTTGATAAGAGGAATACTTAAGCAAGGCATCACATTTTTTCTTTACTTCGAAATTAACTTCTCTGGCATTTTCAGTATTTTTCTTTGCCACATCTTGGTATTTCCTTTTTCAGAAATGGAACAGTAGATTAGCGAGGGCATTGCTCTAACAAATTCAAGATTAAGAAGAAAAAAAAAAAAAGAAAAAACACAGAACCAGCCTGCACTTTACATTCTGGGATACATGAACCAAGACTGCCACACTCTACAAATCACCTGTTCTTATCATGCCACTTACAGACTTCATCACGCAACTTACCTCTACCCAGAAAATGAAGCATAAGACCTTGAGCCAACAGCATTTGGCCAGTTCTCAGCGTGCAACCCCAGCCACAGTCTGTTGTTAATGCAGATCCTTTTATCTGAGGAAATTCTTCTCTGTAAGTCAGCCATATTCTAGAAATAAAATCTTTACGAAACTCCTCAACATTTCCCGAAATCTCTGTGTTGATTTGATCAAAACTGGATCCGTCTGTAGAAAGCTCACCAGATTCTATAACACAAAACACAATGTAAGTTACACCCTGGTGTGTGACTTCTGTTATTAGGAGGAAAATGAAGAAACAAGACAGGATGCTGGGTTTGCTCTGAATAATACAACATAGGATAGGTTACGTTACTGTTGTTGCAAAGTCAAATGAAAATTTTGTAGGCTTTTCATATTTAAACCTTCAATTCAGTAATTGCTAATGAAGGTTTAAAAAGCTATTCATAGAGCTCTGCAGAAGATGACTGGAATGAGGTAAGTGTTATGTACATACCATCAGATTTGAAGTGGTAACATTTTCCTAGCAGAAAGACCGGAGAACTTCTACTAAAGTAAGTTTTTGTTTTCAACACCCAACCTACAAGAAATACAAAACAAAATGTACATTTGATTGCATGTGATTAAGCCAAAGATGTCCCATGCAAGAGGAATACAGAAAAAAAAAAAGGTAATTATTTTTTTTTCCTTTCAGAAATAATGAAAGTTTAATAGCTCCACAAAACACAAATCACAGGTCGCTTAATAGTAATGTTACCCATGTTTGAAAGATTGGATGTTGCAAATTTATTTGAAAAAACAGAGTAAAAAAAAAGTGTGCTTACTTAAGCTGTTTATTGTAATATCAAATTGAAAATGATTAAGGACCACATTGCATTTTTTATCACTAATATATTTAAATTATTTTATTTTATGACTCAAAATCCCATTCTTGCCATGGAACAAGAAAAGTTCCAATCATTTCAGTGGAGACAGGATTTTATCACACAGTTCACTTACTGTATTTCATGTTGTGCCATGCAGACATAAACTTTGATTTTATCTTTTCTACTTCATCTGTCCCTGTGGCCTCCATATTCAAGTTCTAGAGAAAAAGCCATCGCTGTCTTGTAAGACATTAAATTCTGCTACTGTAAAAACAAAAATATAAACATATGCATGGCCACAGAGAACACAGAGCATAACACCACCACAACGCTTCGATATTTAAGCCTAACATGACCAGGAACAGTAATAAATTTGCAGAATTCTTCACTTCTAGGTAGTGAAAAGCAATCACGTTCTATGAATAAGAAATAAAAACATTTTATTCCAAATACACACCAATAAAATTAACATACAAAGCTAAATAAAATAAAATGTTCTCCGATGGCTCTCTATTGCTCAGCAAGCTAACCTAGCGCATATAACCTGTGCTGGCATATGAGTGTGCTCATTCTGATTTACAGTGAAATGAATAGCTGTATTTCATTAAATAGAATAGATACTATTCTTTTACACTGAATGGAACAGAATTCCCTCACATCTCAATTTCTGAGCATCAAAAAACAGATCTCACTTTTGAACTTTTTCAGATTTCTAATCAAGAACTTTGTAGCCCAAAGTGTACATAAATTGGAGGGATTGAAAGACAAAGAGCTTGATGTTTTGCTGTACAAGGCCGAAAATAGTTACTCAAAATGTTTGCAGTAACACAGACATAATTTTCTCAAGAATTAACTTGTTGTAGAGATAATGTGAAAAATTGGTAGAACACTGTAAAAAAAATCTACAACCCTTCTAATTAGCACTTGTGGAGTAAAAAAGGTTTTTCTGATTTGACATATTCTACAGGAGTTCATATATATTACAGAAATGAGATTGGTATAATGGTAGTAAAAGCAACTGCAGTGCAGATTATTTTCTAAAAACTGCTAGCCAATTGTTAAAATATGGGCATGTGGAAAAGCACATTCCCTCATTCTTTTTGAAACGCAGCGCAAGACAAACTTCACCTTAAAAGCACACTACACTCTTTATAATACAGGAAAAAAAAAACGTACATATTTGTCCTACTTTAAAGAAAAATGAGAAGCTTGGACAGAACTCCCTTTACAGTCCATCTGTATCACTTAGCAAAAGGAAAAGTGCTAACAATTAATATAGCTGCTTTTGTGTTCACTTCAGGTATTCTGTCAATGGTTCACTTTAAAATAGTTGAATAGGAGATTGCCTGGACGATACTGAGTAGATAAAAACCCTTGAACAGATGACTGAAAAATTAAGAGCTCCTGCTTCAACAGTAAATTCTTCTGAGACATCCAGAATCGATAAGCAGAGGTAGATCACTGCAATGTTCACATGCTTCCAGTGAAGTACTTAAAATAACAGATGAAAGACATAAAACTGAACCACCTCACACAATTATCAGCTTGGATCAGGAGCACGCACCATCACTAACACAGACCACCTACCCACCTTACTTTGAAAGGAAACTGAGAAAAACTAGAAACCTATCTACCTTTTCATGCATTATTCTCCCTCAAATCAGGATCAAAAAGGAGGTGGAGATTAAACTATGTTACTTCTTCTTTCCACTCAGAACCTATTTTAGGTAACTAGAGAAAATAACCCAAACCACTGGTAGCGCAATCGTAATGTTGATAGGTGAAGGGAGAACAAAGATGTCACATACGCGCATTATTTCTGGGATCTGTACATAGAGTGTGGAAAAACAGAACATAGTATATCGCCTAAGTCTGCCCTAGCAAGTTTTTCTGCTGCTGCATTGTATTACTTGATAAATGTATCTCAATTTTTTTTTTCCACAGAACAGCCAAATCACGCTCACAAACACAGGGAAAGACTGGCATTTTTTGCTATTGTAAATAATTAACAGAGGCTACAAACCTGCTATGATTAACCTCGTGTTGGAGGAAGTAGGAAGAAGGCTATTTAAGGTAGGGTTTTAATGCATTGCTTTATTTATTTATTTAAGGGTGATAGAATTAAAGACTATCTGGACAGGCATCACTGGCACTAGCTGACAAAGCCGGTGAGATTAACTCCTCCAGGAGGTGTGTTTGGTCTAGTTACTCTTCCTACATGATCAGTCATGGCCAGTCACTTACAATGGAGGACAACGATTGCCTTAAAAGCTAATAACTGTAAAAGCTCCCTCTGGCTAAAATTAGGGATGAAACAAACTCTACTGTTTGGGGAAGTGGCTCGTTTTCCTTTAAAGGATGACAGTGAAGCACATTTTTCTCTTACCCCTTTATATTTCTTTCCTAGCATTATGCTCAAGATGGGGAAAGGACTTTTAAGAGAAAAATACTAACACAAATCAGACAAATTTATCCCAGTGGGATATGCACGTATGCGTGCCTATATTAATACAGGTTCTTTCTCCCGTTAGCAGAAGAGCCTCTCTGTAATTGTTTCACTGGGATTAATGGAATGGCACCAGCAGGAAGTCACCACAAACACAGATTAGAGCCCAAGGGGCACAACGCTATCCCTTTTATTAAACCTGAACCTAACGTCTTTATAGGGAAGCCCTCTTATTTTTGAAGTGACCCAGAACACACATTACTACCCTCAGACAAGCAGACCTCCCCCACCGCAACACCAAGTCCTGTCACCTCAGGGCCCAACTGTACCGGCCCTGATGGGGCTGACTTGCAGCGAGGGGAGCGTTTTTAGCGTTTTTTTCCCCCCTCACTATTAAACCTGAACCTAACGTCTTTATAGGGAAGCCCTCTTATTTTTGAAGTGACCCAGAACACACATTACTACCCTCAGACAAGCAGACCTCCCCCACCGCAACACCAAGTCCTGTCACCTCAGGGCCCAACTGTACCGGCCCTGATGGGGCTGACTTGCAGCGAGGGGAGCGTTTTTAGCGTTTTTTTCCCCCCTCACAAACGGTTATCAATGGAAGAACAAGCAACTCCGGGGCCCTCGGCGGAAGAAAGAGGCGCCGCTCACCGCTGGGGCCGCTCCCGCCGTTCAACCGCCGCGTG